TCACCTGAATGTTCATATTGTGTCGGTGAAGATGAGGACAAAACAGCACCCAAGGACTTGGTTATGAACTAGTCAAGCATATCCTTAGGCCGTACCACTGGCTGTTGGAGACATGAATAAGGGCATGCAGCAAGAACAAAGGTGTTCACTTTCCATCTGCTATTTGGGGCCAGGCTGAAAACATTTGGCAGACCTCCAGGTGGGCCTGAGACATCCCGAGACATTTTATCTTTGGTAAGGGTCACTATTCTTTACTTTCAAAGTTGATGCATCCAGGGCTGGGTTTTCGTGGTCAACTAGACACAGAGCGATGTGTCTCAGACTACTCAAAGTTAGTAATGGCAGAGGGGAATTCATTAAAACACCTGAAGTCATGCCCAGCAAGCATGAGCCCTCTCTGAAGCCTCCTTCTTTCACTTAACTAATATTTTTAGAATAGCCATGTGCAAAGATGTTTTATATGTTATCTTAAAATTTCATTTGCGGGTAATAACAGATCAAAGCTAATTTCCTGGTTTGGATGGCTGTGCCGTGCTGATGTAGGCAAGGGAACTTGTAATTAGGAGATACTCACTTTAGTATTAAGGGGTAACGGAGCATCATGTCTGTAACCTAGTCTCAAATAGTTCAGAAATGTTAATAATTGGGGAATCTGGTCAAAGCATACAGGGGAGCTCTGTGTACTCTTTCTGAAACTTACATATAAATTTGAAATTACTTCAAAGCAAAAATATTTTAAATTGTAAAATAAATACCCTGTAATGTATTTGAATTTTTCAATATACTCCACCATATCATTTTATTTTATGTAAAAATAATATTTTAAATTACTTCCTCTTCCCCCAAAATAATTTCAGGAAAATTGGGAAAGAAGACATCTATCTTGTGTCTTTGTACACCACTCACATATTTGTATTCAGTCAAAGATAGGAGTACACTGGTCTTAGTGGGGTTTTCCTTAAGTTGCTCTCTGTGGGTCTGAGTCTCTGACCAGTATTTCTCTTCAAGAACTGGGTGAGAAAGATAAGATAGTTATGGGGGGGCAAGGGCAGTAAGAAGGTCCTTCGCGTGCTTAAAAAAGAGAGAGAGAGAAAACAGACATAAAGCATTTAGAACAGTGACTGGAACATAGAAACCCCTCAGTAAATATTAGCTATGATCATTTTTATCACTGTTGTTTTTGTCACCGCTGGGAGGTCCAAATGCTGCACACAGGCCTGTAGTAAGTCAAAGACCATAAAACGCATGTGAGGGGAGCCCCCTGCCTCAGCTCTGGTTAGGCTGAAGATTACATGCTGTGTTTCCTGAGAACAGATCCTATAGCCAGGAACAAGGGAGACAGTCCACCTGCTGAGGCAAGATCATGGTGGGACTGGGCTCCCTGAGAAGGCCCCGAAGAGCTACACAGTAAAGAGGAAATGGACCTGGCAGGAGACAGGGTCAGCCACTGGGAACAGAGTGAGGCTTTTTAGAAGGAGTATGGCAATGAATTCCTTGTAATAGAACTCTAAGGCTCAGAGTTCAGAAACCAGGATCCAAGATATGTCATGGCCATGGGTCTTCAGAGCCAAGCACCCCCTCTTGGATGAGAATCTCTCTTGGAGAGATTCCCTGTTGGAAGCTTCTTAACCAACTGAGCCACCCAGGCGCCCTGTTATGTGAGACCAACCCAGCTCCCCCAGCCTTGGTGGTTAACTTCATCGCCAAGATCCTGGATTCCAGCAAAGAGATGAAGAAGGATATTCGGAAGAGCGGGGCACGGTAGGCTTGTTTTCCTCCAGAGCTGCTCAAGAGCAGGATGCTGCTGCCCTGAAGTCTCTTCATCCTTCTTGTTCGCTTTTGGGCTTTTCCAGCCTGAGCCCGCCTCTACCCAGTTTCTTAGACGTTCACTTGGTTTGCACTATTCTGTTCCTTTCTTCGCTCTCTGTCTCTCTCAGGGATATCATTATATGTACTCAGGACATCACTGGGGAGCTAAACAGTCACAATGTCGGTCTCATTTTTGAATCAGCATTGCAGCAAGGTTGCACGGCGGGAGCGGGTCAAGGGCCAGGATGGCGGGGATCCCTGTCAGGAGTAAGTGCTCCTTCCTGTCACCTGTCCTGGCTCCAGGGGGTCCACCGCGGATGTGTCAAGCGGTTTGGCAGAAAGTTAGCTGAAAAGCTACGTGGAGCCCTGTCAGCAGCCACTTGCCTCCAGCAGCTAATGTTCTACCGTCATCGGGCTTGCCTCTGGGTGGATTCTATTCCAAGCCTTCTGCACCCCAGCTGGTCTCCACCTTGGCGCCTGCCGCCAGCAGCATCTCCTCTCACACCCTGTCACGAGGAACTTATCAGAGCACGTCACGTCCAGCTCTGTAGTCACCGCTGGACCTCGTACACAAGTTCCATGAACGGATCCTACCACTGCCCTCTGCTGAGGGACCGGGAACTGCTTCTGGACGATCTCACTCAGGACCCAAGCACAGGATCAGAAAATGCACAGCCCCGTGTCCCCCTTAGCCACTCCTGGTCACTGGTAGTGGCCCCGGCCCCTCCTGCACCACCCCGCTCCTCCAGAACCCCCTTCTTCCTGAAGAGTCTGCCTCTTACCCACCAGGAGTCCATTCGCAGGGGGAAGCCTGATGACCCATACTGAGGGTGGCACTTGTAGGTCAAGGACTGCCCTCTATCCTCATGCTGCTGCTGTCCTTCCCACCGGTGACCCAGACAGACTTTTCTACCTACCCTTCCTCGGGTATCCGGAAAACACTGGTTTTTAGGGGATCATTGCGGATTCTCTGCTTTTCCTCTCCTGAGCTACCTTCAGGGTCTAACCGTGGAGCCTCTTACGTCCTAGTCTGGCTGCGAGCACTTGGATGTTTCTTCTTGTTTCATAGAGTCTTAGTGCCAGGGAGCATTTTAGAAGTTATGCAACTTTATGCATCCTTGTGTTAGAAATGACGAGGATTCTGAGAGGCAACACAGGCACTGAGTGTCCCCTCTGGGCTAGCGAAGGGGGAAGACCCGATTCCTGTCCGAGTTTTCCAACCAGCTGGGAAGACTGGACACACATGTGAGAATCAAATAACAAAACAAGGTAGCACACGATTAAGGACTCAAATGAGTGGTACCAGGAAGCAATGCTGAAGGACGTTAGGTTTAGGAGGGATTAGCCTAGGGTGGACTTGACCGGCAGTGTTCACACATGTGATCAAGCTGAGCTCTGAAAAATGACTAACATTTGAGGGAGGGCTCTCAGGGAAGAAAAACAAAACAAAACAGAAGTACAGTTGAAAAGAGCAAAACATGCCCAGGAGACAAAAGGGAGACCAATCTGTTAGAATAGAATTTGGTGACCAGGTGACTCTTAGCCAATAAGGTAACTTCAATAAACGGGAAAGCAGTGTGGCAGAAAGGAACAACATAACTTTGGAGCCAGACCTACCTCATTTTCAATCTCACTTACTAAATCTGTAACCTTAACCTCGCCAAGCCTCAGTTTTCTTTTCTGTAAAATGGGGGTAATAACATGGACCACATAATTGCTTTGTAGATAATGTTACATATAAAGCACAATGCCTTGGCACGCAGTAAACACTCTTTAAAAGATTTATTTATTTAAGAGAGACAGAGAGTGTGCATACACTCATGAGTGGGGGGGGGCAGAGGGAGAGAGAGAGAGAGAATCTCAAGCAGACTTCCCACTGAGCGCAGAGCCTGACACAGGGCTCATCCCGGGACCCCAAGATCATGACCTGAGCTGAAATCAAGAGTCGGATGCTTAACCGACTTCTTTGGGAGGGTGCCAGCTAGTACTTACAGAAAAAAATATTTGATACATAAGGCCAATATCAAGTCCAGGAGTTCTGATGTTCCTAGTAGGGCAAATTAAATTAAAAACTTCTCAGGTTTTCTCATCTGTATCTCATATCTCATAAGCTTCTTGTATATTTTATTTCAGTTAGCTGTATATTAGTTGTCTTAAATTAGTTGTCTTAAAAATAATGTGTAAATTTCAATATCCTATGTAGAAACAGAAAAAAGTATTTACACAGATAAAAAACAAAAACAAAAACAAACCCACCCAGGTGCCCCAGTAAATACTTCTTTATATGATAGCTAGAATTCTTTTTTTTTTTTAAGATTTTATTTATTTATTTGAGAGAGAGAGAGAGACACAGCGCGAGAGGGAACACAAGCAGGGGGAGCGGGAGAGGGAGAAGCAGGCTCCCCACTGGGCAGGGAGCCCGATGTGGGGCTCGATCCCAGGACCCTGGGATCGTGACCTGAGCCGAAGGCAGACGCTTAACGACTGAGCCACCCAGGCGCCCCGATAGCTAGAATTCTTAACAAAGTACCTATCACCGTGCCAAGCAGACCTTCACGGAATGGTGGTTAGTGGTATCCCTTGGCACAGCCTGTGCTGACTGGACCCATAAGGAGGGCCGTATTTAGTACCACCATACCATGCTAGACACCTTAACACTTCATCACATTGAATATATTTAATATACATATTCCTCATTCAGTATCATTCTTGCAGAAATGTATCTGAAATGATATTTAAAGATTTACTTCTGAAATTGACTACAAGTACTTTGCAATTGGTACCGCTCCTTCTGCAACCGTAGTACTTGAGAATTCCCATAAAATGAGAAAATCTCACCTAAGATTGCTTTGCAATGTAGTAAATTTTTATGAGTGCCAAATTTCAAAATAAATGAAGTCAACTTTGTTACTGTGGTAACAGGTAAGTACATATTTTACAGTTGATTTGAAGTTGACTTTTCCTTGATCGGAGCCTATATTGTTTTCTTCCCAGTCTCCGGTAGCATAGGCCCTTGAAAACTTCCCAAACCCTAGACATTGAGCTTCTAGTGCTTAATGGATAACAGGGCCCTGAGACTGTGGCAGTTGGGAAGAGTTATGACGAATGACTAGGATCAAACACATAATAGAAAGAACCCCTTTCCCAGGCCTGCCTGAGTGGGGTTGGCCAGCTGCAGGCTCAGCACTTACCTGAGGGAAAGCATGTTTGCAACTTAATTGGATTCAGGGCTTGCAAAGTCTGTGGTCAATCATCTTGGTCAGCACGAATGTTCATGCCAGCCCTTGGCTCCCGCCGCCATCCCCACCGTCACTCCAAAGCCTGGAGGCTTGGGTCTGCAACTGTTAATGAATAATCCCTTGGTGATCCTCCCAACCCCATGGGAGAGGTTCAGCTGAGGGCCTGCAAAAGAGAAATGACTTCCTGGATAAATATATATATATATATATATATATATTTTTTTTTTTTTTTTTTTTTTTTGCTCCCTGGGGCCCAAGTCAGCTGTTGGCTGGATAATGTTCTCCTGGGCTCAAAAATCAATGTTTTGTGAGCTTTGTGGGGAGGAGAGCATGAAGAGATCCCTGCTGTGGAAAAGGTGAGCTGTGTTGGTGAACCAGGCTCCACCCTGGTGGCAGAGGGACAAACATCTCAGCAGTTTCCCCTCTGGCAACGCAGATCCTAGGAGACTCAGGGATTTGTGCTTCTTTGAGGAGCATTTTATCTCAAGGCAGTGAAGTCACGCAAATCCCAGAGGTTGAGATCCTAGGTGGGGTCCAACACAGCCACACGGACCCGAGAAGCTGTAGCCCAGAGCAAGTGTCCCAACTGCAGTCACTTGCTTCGTCCCTTGACAACTGTTGCAATATCCTCTTACTGCCGGTATTAAAACTTACTAAATATATACGTAGGGGCACCTGGGTGGTACTGTCGGTTGGGCGTCCGACTCTTGGTTTCGGCTCAGGTTGTAATCTCAGGGTGGTGAGACTGAGCCCTGCGTGGGGCTCTGCACTGGGTGTGGAGTCTGCCTGAGACTCTCTCCGCCCCACCTCTCAAATAAATAAATAAATCTTTTAAAAATATCTATATCTATATATATATAAATTTATAAAGATATATATATAAATCTTTATATAGATATATAAATAAATATTTATATAGATATATAAAATAAATAGTTATAGAGATATATAAATAGGGTGCTGGGTGGCTCAGTTGGTTAAGCGACTGCCTTCAGCTCAGGTCATGATCCTGGAGTCCCAGGATCGAGTCCCGCATCGGGCTCCCTGCTCGGCGGGGAGTCTGCTTCTCTCTCTGAATCTCCCTCCTCTCATGCTCTCTATCTCTTTCTCTCTCTCAAATAAATAAATTTTAAAAAATCTTTAAAAATAAAAAAAAGAGATATATAAATAAATCTTTAAAAGATATATGTATATCTATATATATAAATTCTTTGGTTTTTTAGAATTTTTTTAAGTTTTATTTATGTATTTATTTTAAGTAATTTCTACACCCAACGTGGGGCTTGATCTCATGACCCTGACATCATGACCCAAGCCAAAGGCAGACGCTTAACCAGCTGAGCCACCCAGGTGCCCCTTTTATTTTTTAATTATTATATTTTCTTTTTTTTTTAAAGATTTTATTTATTTGACAGAGAGAGACAGTGAGAGAGGGAACACAAGCAGGGGGAGTGGGAGAGGGAGAAGCAGGCCTCCCGCGGAGCAGGGAGCCCGACATGGGGCTCGATCCCAGGACCCCAGGACCATGACCATGACCTGAGCCGAAGGCAGACGCTTAACGACTGAGCCACCCAGGTGCCCCAATTATTATATTTTCTTAAGTAATCCCTACGCTCAACGTGGGGCTCAAACTCACGACCCTGAGCTCAAGAGTCGCAGGGTCCACCGACTGAGCCAGCCAGGTGCCCCAGTGTCATCCAATTTTTAAAAATTCTATCCAGATATTGTTTTCAGGCAAAGACTCAGCCTGAGATCTGTGGCCTCTATTGGAAAGGGGGAGAAAGAATTTACCTCCTTGCTCTAATAGGAGACTTCCTCCTAAATGTTATCACAAGGATCAGAAGAGAATTATTGAAGGCAATGTTCCTGCACCACCCAAGACTACAAACAGAGACACACTCACTGTGCCCTCCCCCTATGGGAACCATTTTCTCCCTCCCTTTTCAGCCTGGCACCACACCAAAGGGCTGGGTTGGAAGTCAGAAAGCTCCTGGCCCCAGCTCTGCCATTCATAGGTGGCCTCTTTCACGAACTCCGGCTCCTTCATCTGTACAATAAGGAGTTGACTGAGATATGTCTAAGAACTCTTCCAGCTCTGACACTCTATCATTCCAGGACTTTCTCCAACAGGGAAAATGTCTGCTGCAGAAAAAACCCAAAACTACCATGCTGCTTGACCAGCTGGAGCAGTGACTCTCTTACTGGGAGTGACTGTTTTTCTAGCTTCAGTGAGCAAGTAGGACACAGAACAGAAAGGAATCAGCCTCACTACACAACCTTAATACTGACTCAGGAACGCCTGAGCTAGGCTGGGGGAGTGGAGTGTGGACCCTTAGCCCATTTTTCTTCCAAGATTCGTACCCTTGTGGTCTGACTTCTCAGTGTTTCAAACAAGAAACCTGGGAGTGTGGAAAAGAACAGGGGCATTGGAAACCAAGAAGCGTTGATTAAAATCCTGTATCTGACTCTCTTTAGCTGTGTGGTGATGGGCAATTTCCTTAACTTGTCTGAGCCTCAGTTTGCTCATATATTAAAAAAAGTAATCATACTTGCCTCATAAAACTCTTACGAGGGACAAACAATATAAGTATTTACTGGGGGGCATAAAAAGGCACATTCTCTGCTGGGACTGAACCATAAAATGTCAGTGGTGGTCTTAAATGTCTGAGGCCATAGAAGCCCTGCAATAACTGCCTTAGGGTACGAAATTCTTGGAGGGGTGAGCAGGGCTCCCCCCGTGGTGTCGTACTCCTCCTCTGTGTCGTTACTCCCCTAGGAGAGATGCCACCTGTCAGACCGGCAGCGTAGCCTGCAAGGACAGCCATGAGAACTGGGCCACCTGGGCCAAGGGCCTGTGTCCTTTACATGTGAGCTCATCTCAGGGAGTGTCCAGACTGCTGTACAAGAAGAAGCAGGTGACCACTCCTCACACCATGGCCTGTGTCCCTCCATGGCAGAAAAGGATGGCCTGGTTCCAGCTGGTATCAGCGGTCCCTGTGCACTTGGATAATACTATCTATAGCCAGGTGCCCCCCGCCGCCATCTCCACCCCAAGCTCTGCACACTCCGGACATCGCTGCTGAATTTCCACCCTTGCGTTCTCGACTAATCCTTCCCCTTTGCAAATGCCGCTTCCCTCCCACACACCCAACTTCACATACTCTTAATTCCACGGGGGGGTTTATGGATGAGGAAAGAGGAGTCATTCTCTTTAGCCCTTCACTGTCGCTTATTTGTTTCTGAGTTTGATACTGTGTGGCCCCTTCCAGGGTCAAGCACTGAGGATCTCAGCGAAGGTGGATCCAAGTTTTGTGGGGCCTAAGGCGTGTATAATTTTGGAGACCTTCGTAAAGAAAAGCAATATAAAATGGCAAATGCCAACCAGGTTAGGGCCTTGGGAGGGCTGTGTTTGGACAGTTCAGAGGGACCCAGGCCGGGAAGATTATCTAAGAAAGAAAGGCAGGAAGATCTGCCTGGGTTCCCTGTACCGGACCAAGGTGTCTCGTTTTGCTGCAATGAAAGACTCTGTTCTTCCCCACTGAGTGTGCGTTACTATCCTGGGGAAAGTATGGAGGTTTGGAAACCCCATCTTGCCTCTCAGGCATCAGCTTCACCTGCTCTGTGGGCAGGAGGGAGGGCAGCACCTTGAGCCAGCGCGGGCTTGGAGGCCCAGCAGGGCCGGTCTCCCACCCACTTGAGAACTGCCTGGTGGTCCTCTCTCACTTAGGGGAAAGGAAGGGGAGGAAGAGCACGTTGTGCCCCCAGATGCCAGTCAGATCTGAGGCCTGACCTCCACCCCTTTGTCTGTCCTCATGCCTCCTTGATACGACCCACAGCAGGAACCTCAGATTTCTGAAGTGAGTCTCTCTCTCCCTGGGGAATTTCAGAATTAGGACCTTCCCAGAATGTTGACCTGGTCCCAATTAGTGCTTCTCTAACTATGAGGAGGGAGCAGTTTTGTAGGCAGTCTGCCACCGACCAATGTCTTCACAAAACACGATAAAGTGAATTACTAGAAAAATGAAATAGAGCATATACATATAGAAAACACAAGGCCGAATTTCTCATTCTTAGATTCAATTAACATAAAAGCACTCTACCAAATTGGCATAAAAGTGTCTCGATGCTTCCTCTCAGTTTCTATACTTTTCTTGTGAGACGCTCAGAGAAAAACATGCACATATTATACACATATGGGCACATAGATACTAACATGAGACCCACACATCCACATCCATACACACACACAGGGACACATTCATACACGTGCACGTGTGTGGACAACACACACCAACACTCAACAGCGAAGCAGCCCCTCTCCTTCCCTCCACCAACTCTGCTTCCTTCCCGTATTTAGAAGGAGATTTTCCTACACAGATTAGAGGTCCGAATAAGCCAAGGGTGTTTGGGGAGACGTGAAGTGGCAGAGAAAGCAGAGAATCCAACAGTTCTGACGCCCAGCCCTCTTCCCTGCTTCCTAGAGAAAGAGAGTGAAGGCAGAGCTCCCCATGACCTACCACACCCACACTGGCCCACCCCAAATATAGCACCCCCCCACCCCACCCCCATAACATCCCAGCGCCCTGCCACACCACATTCTGCCCATAACTATCGCTGTCTGGCCACCCCTCTGCTTCTAACCAAAGAAGACGTGCTGGAAGTGAGAGAAAAACAACATTCTCCTACACCCCTGGCATCTCCCCAGCGTCGTGGGCAGCTCCACTTCCTCTGTCTGCACCTTAAGTGAGGGTGTTCCTCAGGGGCCTATTCTTAGCTCTTTTCTTCTCACAACAACGCTCTCAAGAGGCACTTGATACACGCCCAGGGCTTCAAAGGCCACTTACCTGCTCCCAAGAGCATACCTCCATCCCCCATCTCCCAAATGCCAGGCCATCCACCTGCCCTTACCAGCCCCTTCCTTGGGGCTGCAAGCGTCTGAAGAAAAACACTCAGAACTGAGCTCATGATATGCCTGGCTTCCACACTTGCCCCTCTTCCTGCAATCTCCCAGTCTTGGTTGGTGGAAACATCATACCCAATCATTCAAAGGCCTCGTCTAAGAGACACCTGTATGAACTCATTCTTTCTCGTTCCTTTGCTTCTCCGGTAATTCACCATCTATCCCAGGTACTGCCTTAAGAGGGCGCAAAAGTTCTTGGGTTT